ACTGGTACCCATGCTGGGCATCCTAGTACTGGGCATCCCAGTACCAGGCACTGAGCATCTGACACTGGACAGCCCAGCAGGGCGCACAGGCACTGCAGGACCAGCCAGCACGTGGCACAGCACCATGTCCCACGTGGGTGCTCCCCCTGGGTCCCTGGGCACTGCATGGGCAGGCAGCCCATGCAGCCCTTGTCCCACCATGCATGAGTGCCCTGACCCCGACACCCAGGCTGCCAGTGGTGGTGACAACTGGTCCTGTCCCTGTCCCCAGACTGCAGCTTCACCTGCCACTACCGGTGCCGGGCCCTGGTGCGGTTGGACTGCAGTGGCCCCCCGGGTGCCAGCGACGAGGATGATGGCAACGAGCAGGTGCTGGAGAAGGACACCAACGTGGTAAGGCCTGGGCCCGTCCCTGAGGGAGAGCATGGGCAGAGGGTGGCCAAGCTAGGGTCTGCCCAGGCTTGTGGGGGGGCTATGCCAGGCTGTGCCATGTGAGGCCATGTCACAGCTGTGCCGAGCCTTGCTGCGTTTTGGTGTGCCATGCCGGGCTGTGCCATGCCAGGCTGTGACAAGCCTTGCTGGACTAGACTGGGCTGGGCTAGGCTTTTCTGGGCTGTGTGAATCTGTGCCATGCTGGGCTGTGCCAAGCCTTGCAGGGCTGTGCTGGGCGGTGGAGCTGTGCCGTGCCGAGCTGCCCGCTCTGCACCGAGCCGATCCGAGCCGAGCCATGCCGGGGCACAGCCGTGTCCGGGCGGGCGCGGGTGAAGTCACCGCCGGAAGCGGGGCCGCCGCGCCGCCCCCGGCCCGCGTCAGCCCCACGGCCGGGGCGGGGCACGACCGGGACCGCGCCGAGCCGGGAGCGGGGCAGGACGCGAGAGACGCCGCGCTGAGCCGAGCCGGGACCGCGATAGGGACCGGGCGGAGCCGAGCCGGGACAGGAGCGCGACAGAGACCGAGCTGAGCCGAGCCGGGACAGGAGCGCGACAGAGACCGAGCTGAGCCGAGCCGGGACTGAGACTGGGGTCGGGCGGAGTTGAGCCGGGACCGAGACCCGGGAGCGGGCGGAGCCGAGCCGCGATAGGGACCGGGAGCGGGCCGAGCCGAGCCGAGCCAAGGGCCGGGCTGAGCGGAGCCGGGCCCAGGAGCGGGACCGGGCTGAGCCGAGCCGGGAGCGGGGCGAGCCGGGCCCCAGCCCGGGGGCCGGCCGGGCTGGCGCGGGGCCGGGTGTGCCCGTGTGCCCGCCGGCCCGGCGGGGCCGCGGGCCGGGCGGGCCGGGCCGTGCCCTCCGCCAGCGCCGCCGGGACCGGGGCCGTGCCCGGGACCGGTGCGGGGGGCGGTGGGGCCGGGGGCTGCGGGGCGGCGGCGCTGGCCCTGCGGCGGGGCGGCGCGGGGGGCACGGGGGGCAGCACGGCCAGCAGCGGCTACTGCAGCCAGGAGGACTCCGACTCCGAGCCCGAGCTCTTCTACACCGCCCGCACCTCCCTCGGCCGCCGCCCACGCCGCCGCCAGGTCGGTCCCGGGCCGTGACGTCATGGGGGGGACACGGCTGACATCATCGAGGAGCACACACACGCCCCCCGGGGCTGGGTGCTGGGGAGCAGGCGAGGGTGGGCTTGGTGCGTGGGGAACACACGGGATGTGGGTGGTCCTGTCCGGGAAGTGAGCGTGGGTCTGCTATGGGGTGAGCATAGGGGTGAGCATCACCCTGCTGCGGGGTGAGTGTGGGGCTGGGCATGGGGTCAGCGTGGCCCTGCCGTGGGGCAGCAAGAGTGGCAGCAAGCATGGCCATGCCATGGGACACACTGGCCCTGTCCAGGTGGATGTGGGGTGAGCAAGGCACCGTGGGGTCAGTGGGGTTTTGCTGTCTGGCACGGCCACCCCAAGGCCTTCCAACCTGGAGCTGCTCCCGGAGAGGGCAAAGGACAGCATTTGGGGGTGACAGGGTGAGCCCCCTAGGCAGCCTCACAGCTGTCCCCATCCTGCAGGGACCCCCGCAGGGTCCGGCAGTGCCTGCACGCTCTGGGGTGGCTTTCAGGGCTGGGAGCCCCTCAGCGCCGTGGGGACACGTGCAACACTGTGTGGCAGCTGCGTAGCCCCACGTAAATACTCATTAGTGGGTGCGGGTGGCAGGGACGCCTAGCCGGGATGCCTGGGTCCCTTGTGTGGGGCCAGCACTTTGAAGTGGGGTGCCGGCGGCATGGGCGGGCTGCACCCCCGGCCCGGCCCTCCTACCTCAAATCCCAGGGCGTCCCCGCGGGCTCCCAGCCTGCCCAGACGCCCTGGTGCCAGGCTGTCCGCTGCCGGCGCTCTGCCTCGGGACGCCTCTTTGATCTGAGGTGCCGGGAAGGGACGCTCATCCCCGGGTGTACTCGCAGCCGAGTTCACCCACCCCTGCTGGCCCACGGAGGAGGGCTGGGGGGGCGGCCGGTGCCAGTGTCCCCGGAGCAGGGCTGGGGCCGCGGTGAGCTCAGCTGTGCTTCCCCGGCACAGCCCAGCTCAGCGCCAGCCGGGCTGATGCAACCCCGCGCAACCGCCCGCGCGTGTCTGTCGGTGCCGCGGGATGGGCCGGGGGCCGGCGGGATAACCGGGGTAGGCGGGGAGCTCCCCCCCGCCCGCAGTGCTGCTCAGCCCGGCTGCTGTCACACAGGATGAGCCTAGCGAGTGGGAGAAGACAGAGCTGGACCAGACGCAGGTGGAGCAGCGGATTAAGGAGTACAACAGCCAGATCAACAGCAACCTCTTCATGAGCCTGGTACGGGGCCAGCGCAGGGCTGGGCGGGAGGGGCACGGTGCCTTGCCCTGTCCCCACTCACCCCCCTACTGGTGTCTCGCAGAACAAGGACGGCTCCTACACCGGCTTCATCAAGGTGCAGCTGAAGCTGGTGCGCCCCGTCTCAGTGCCGGCCACCAAGAGGGGCCCCGCCCTGCAGGCGGGGCGGCCGCACAGCCAGGGCGTGAAGCGCCGAACCTCCTTCTACCTGCCCAAGGGCACCGTGAAGCACCTGCACATCCTGTCGCACACCCGTGCCAGCGAGGTCATCGACGCCCTCCTCCGCAAGTTCACCGTCGTTGACAACCCCCGCAAGTTTGCCCTCTTCGAGAGGTCTGAGAAGGATGAGCAAGGTAGTGCCCTTGACGAGCAAGGTGGCCCTGTCCCCACAGCGGTGGCTGTGTCCCCGTAGTGACAGTTTCCCCTATGGTGGCAATGTCTCCAGAATGATGGGGTCTCCCATGCTGGGAGCATCCCCATGGCAGTGGTGTTCTCATAGCAATGGTGTTCCCCATGGTGGCAGTATCATGGCAGCAGTGTCCTCCCTGACAGTGGCAGCTTTCCCTGGGTAGCAGCATCTCTGTGGTGGCAGCATCCCTGTAGCAGTGGTATCCCTGCTTTGGTGGCAGTGTCCTGTGTCACCATGGGCATGTCCCTCCCCCCCTCCCCCCTCCCGTGGCAGCAGATTCCCCCATGTCAGTAGTTTACTCTGTGGTGATGATGTCCCTGTAGTGGAAGCATCCTCGTGGTGGCAGCATCCCTGCAGCAGTGGTATCCCCCCTTTGGTGGCAGTGTCCCTTGTCACCATGGGTGAGCAGAGTCTGCCATGGAAGTGATGTCTGCTGTGAAAGTGGTGTCCCCAGAGAGGGTTATGTCCCCCTGGTGGCACTGTCCCCCTGGCATTGTCCCTGCTGTGACCTGTGGCCACCCTTGCAGTGTACCTGCGGAAGCTGGGTGATGAGGAGCAACCCCTGCGGCTGCGGCTGCTGGCCGGCCCCAGCGAGAAGGTGCTGAGCTTCGTCCTGAAGGAGAACGAGACCGGGGAGGTGAACGTGAGTGTGGGGGGACAGGGAGGGGGCTGGCACCCGCATCCCTGGGGAGAGGGGGCCGCGGGGGGACACGGCAGGTCCCCGTCACGATGGCAGCCCCTGTGCCTGCAGTGGGACGCCTTCACACTGCCGGAGCTGCAAAACTTCCTGCGCATCCTGCAGCGGGAGGAGGAGGAGCACGTGCGGCGGCTGCGGCACCGCTACGCCCGCTGCCGCCAGAAAATGCAGGAGGCGCTGGCCACACGCACGCCGGGGTGACCACGACGCCCGCGCCCGAGGCCAGCCAGTGCACCGGGACTCTCGTCCGCCGGCGGGTGGGGGCACCGGGGAGGGGGGTGGAATGGGGCACCACGGACCCACCGGGCTGTCACAGCCCCCATGGGGCCGGCCTAGAGAGTGGGAGTGCCTGGGGGGAGCGAGTGTCACCCGGGAGTGGGTGTCCAGAGGGGAGCGAGTGTCACCTGGGAGTGTGTGTCCCCAGAGGAGTGGGTGTCCTGAGGGGAGCGAGTGTCCCCTGGGGGATTGGATGTCCCCAGGGGAGTGGTGTCACCCAGGAGTGTGTGTCCCCAGAGGAGTGGGTGTCCTGAGGGGAGCGTGTCCCCTGGGGATTTGAGTGTCCCCAGGGGAGTGGGTGTCATGAAGGAAGTGAGTGTCACCTGGGAGTGTGTGTCCCCAAAAGAGTGGATGTTCTGGAGGGAGCAAATGTCCCTCTGGGAGTGGGTATCCCCAGGGGAGGGGGTGTCCAGGGGGAGTGAGTATCACCTAAGAGTGTGTGTCTCCAGGGGAATGGGTGTTCTGGGGGAAGAGTGTCCCTGGATGAGTGATTGTCCCTGTGGGAGAAGCAGGGCATCGAGCACCAATAAAGACATCTTGGTGACGAGGCCTGGCCTGCGGTGTGTCTTTGGCTGGGCGGGAAGGGACGGGACTCGGAGCCCTCCGCGCTGCCAGCGGGCCGTGGGTCCCTGCACGTGGTTCGAGGGAGCAGCGGGAGGGCGGGACTCGAACCCGCGGCCCCCGGGGCGGGAAGGAGGGCGCGCCCCGCGCCGCCGTCACGTGTGGCGGGCGGCGGAAGTGGCGCAGCGGCGGCGTAGGCGGCGCTCGGTCGGTGTCGCCGGGCGGCTCCGGGCCGGCCCCGTCCCTTCCCCCGCGGCCCCGCTCCCGCCGCCGCCGCCGCCCCCGCCATGGGCGCCAGCGGCTCCAAGTCGCGGGGGCTGTGGCCCTTCGCCTCGCCGGCGGCGGGCGGCGGCGGCCCCGAGGGCCCCGGCGGGCAGCAGGCCCTGGCCCGGGCGCGGGCCGCGCGCGCCGCCACCCCCTTCGTGTTCACGCGGCGCGGGTGAGAGCGGGGGGAGAGAGGGGCGCGAGGGGACCGGGAGGCTGCCGCGGGGCGGGGGGCTCTGCTTGGGCCGGGAGGGGCTTGGGTGGTCGGTGCAGCCCCCCAGGGCCGGGGGGGCCCGGCCTGCCGAGCCCCCGACCTGCCCCAGCCCCCAGCCCGGCTCACACCCACCCGCCTGCCCTCTCCTCCCGGCAGCTCCATGTACTACGATGAGGACGGGGATCTTGCTCACGAGTTCTACGAGGAGACAATCGTCACCAAGAACGGGAGGAAGCGCGCCAAGCTGAAGAGGATCCACAAGAACCTGATACCTCAGGTGGGGTGTGGGGAAGGGTGGGGGCAGCGAGGGTGAAGCGCCACGGTGACAGCTGAAGTCCCGGTTTTGCAGGAGGCTTCTCCCTCAGGGCATCTTGGGAAGGTGGAGGCTTTCTCCTCCCCCCAATTGCTGCCTCAGAGCTATGACTCCTGTGTGTCCTGGCTCACACCCCTGTCACCTGGTGAGGCTGTGACAGAAGAGGGAGGGCTGGTGGCACCCTCCAGCTGCCCTTTTTGGAGAGAAGTGTTGCCTGAGCCTTTTTAGAGCTGCCATACTGGGGAGATAGCTCAGCCTGGTGTGTGTTGTGGGGCACAGAGCACCAGGCAACCCTTCATGGCCATGGTGTCTCATTGCCAAGCACCTTCCATGAGCTGTGGGGTGCTGTGCTGGCTCAGCCCATATCATGTCAGTGCAGAGGGCCAGGCCCTGCCTTGGGGAGCAGCAGCCAAAGCCCATCACCCACTGATGTGAGTGGGCACGTCCCCTCCAGCTGCTCAGTAGTTATGACAGCTCCATGTTTTGCACCTCAGTGCAAAAGTCTTTTCTTAAAATAAGCAACTGGTGTGGTGCTGGGCAGTGGCTAGGACACTAATAGAGGGTCTTGGTGCAGGGGCAGGATAGCCTGTGTGTAGGGAAGCTTTTGGGCACATAAATGGAGAAAAAGGTAGATCAAACCAGGGCTGGAGAGACACTCTGCAGGAGTCTTTTGTAAGTAAGCAGAAAGGCACAGCTCTAGCAAGCCTTGGGACGAGCTGTCAGTGTGCCCTTAGGGGTGGGCAGCTGTCGCGGGGTATCTATTGTATTGTTAGGTTTGGTCAGTAGAGAAAGCAGACACACACACACAGAGTTGAGACCAGAGTAATCTAGAGAGCTGTCTGCTTCGTAAGCGCAGCAGCCTCCTTTATTAAGGTAGCTAGCCCCGACGTTCCCACACACTTTCTGTAAACATAGTTTCTACAAAACACCAGAGAACTAACACCTGCTGTTGTGAACACAGCCGACATCTCCGTCCTTGCACATTCCATCCTGTTTATCTCCTTTCTAGTCAACTCCCTGATTCTCAAGGCTGCTCTGTTTATGTGAACGGTTAATTAACTTCACTGTTCTCATGGGAACGGCCTAATACCATCCAATATTTTAAGACTGTCAACTTTTAGGGGCTCGGCGGGCCTGCTGCCTCCCCCCACAGGCAGCCCCCCAACAGGATGGGACCTCTCTGAGCACTGCACTGGCAGTTATGGAGGGAAGGATTTGGTGCTGCTTCCCAGACTGACATTGTTGCAGAGGCAGTCTTGGGCCATGGGACTGACTTCTCATTGACCTGGGTTGAAACTCATGCAGTTGGAAAGCTTGTCTGAGCCAAAGAGAGCAGGTACCAGCACTGAAGAGCCCTTCGCTAGCTCAGGCTTTGTTCTGGCTCTGTGGGTGCAGGCCCAGCCCTTAGCCCCCGCTCCCCCCTCTGCCCCCAGCCCCCCACCTGCCAGTGGCTCCTCCTGGTGCTGTAACAGGAGAAGGCTTGAACGGACCGTGGGAACGGTGCCTGTGGCTGGTGTGGAGGGATCGTTCATTCAGTAGCCTCCCCTCCCCTCTGCACAGAAAGCTGCTTTTCTTGTGTGCCAGCTGCCCCGGCTGCGTTCCCTCAGAGAGCTCTTTTCATTCCTTTAAATCCCGTGAATGGAAGGTGCTGAATGAAAAGCACGGACGGCCGATATCTGCCAGTCACGCACCAGCTGCTGCACGGGCAGTGCCTGGCAGAGCAGCTCCCTCCTTGCTCGCCCTGCCATGTGTGGCAGCCAGCCATGCTGCCCTGGGCTCTCCAGGGACGAGTTCGAAGGGCAGAGTGCCTGTGCTCTGCCTGCTGCTCTCAGGCCCTACCACGTGTCACAGCCACTTTTTGGACCCTGGCCCCTGTGGTTACTCTAGGGCACAGTGTCCTCTGTCCTGGGGTGACTGGCAGGGCTCAGGCGTGTTGTATGTCAGTCCCTTTCTGATCACCACTCTGACTCTTCTTTCAGGGCATAGTGAAACTAGAGCACCCTCGCATTCACGTGGATTTCCCGGTGATCATCTGCGAGGTGTGAGTCCCAGACATCTCTGCCTGCGGGCGGGAGGCCCTGCCCCACCGCCCCCAGCCTTGCCGGGCCAGGCTGCCCCATGTTCCCACCCGAGGAGGACTCCGGGCGCGCGGCGGGACAGTGGCTCTCCCCTCGCCCGGAGGTGAGGCGGAACGGAGCAGGCCCTCGCAGGAGATGGGTGACCTTGTGCAACGACTGCTTAAAAACATCCTCGCTTGAGTCAGAAGACTGAAATACCTATTGTAGCCTCTAGCCCATGTTGGATGGGTAACTGGAACTGCAGACGAGCTGCTGTGTGTGAGCTGTTAAAGGGAGAGTGAGCCCGCACTTCTCACCAGAGAGAACCCCCTGCTTCTCAGGTATGCAGCCCAGGGAGGGCCAGGGCACGGTGACCCACTGCCCAAGGCCTCCGGGGCCCGCAGGTTAGATGGCCAGTGTTGCAGTGTGTCCCTTGACACGGGTGTGAGGTGATGGGTCCGTTGATGGAGGATGAACAGGGCAGGCTGAGGGGTCTTGAAGCACATTTGGCTGGCTGCTGTGCTCCTCTTGGGAAGGGGATGGAGATCAGATGCCGCTCTCTTGGACCTCAGTCTCTTCCCTCTGTGCGTTTCCCCGCTTACACTGGCTCTGGGAAGGCTGGCTTTGCTGCTGCCTGCTGGAGATTAACAGAATTGAAGAAGTTTGACTCCTCGCTCGTGGTTTCTCAGAGAGGGTCTCGGTGGCATAGTTCCCCTTTGGTAGGAGAAAAGAGCCGCCAAGTCTCCTCTCTGGATCCCAGGGCGAAAAGTACTTTATTTGAGTTGAAGGAGGCCAGGGCTCTCTTCTCATCTGCGCTGTAGGTCTAGTTCTCTGCACAGATGCACGGCTTCCATGCGCCGATGTCTGATGCCTCTCATGACATAACCAGAGCTCTCAAACGATGCGAATCTCTTCACTGGTCAGAGGCGATCTCGCCTCTCTGAGGAATAGGTTTTCCCCTGTCATCCTGAGACGTATGAGTTTTGGGAGCCTCTGGTCCAATCAGGCTATCGGCTTCAGTATTTTTTGATCTCTCAGTCCAGAGATCATCCCCTTGAACTGTTTCACCATTGGAATCTTCACTACTTGAATTGCTGGATTCCTTCCTGCTCTTCTTGTTTTTCTTCTTCTTCTTCTTCTTCTTGCTCTTCTTTTTCCTCTTCTTGCTTTTCTTTTTATCTTCATCACTGGAGTTCTGCTCAGACTCCGGCTCACTGTCGCTGTCCTCAGAATGTTTTCTGCGCTTTCTTTTTGATGCCTTACGTTTTTTCTTCTGTCTTCTTTTCCTCTTCTGGGCTAGAATCCGAAGAACTACTCTTAGATTTTGCCTCTTCATCTTCTACCGGTGTATGCTTATCAGAATCGGGGTCAGGAACCTCTGGTGGCAGCCCCCATACTTCAGGTGCCCCCAGCTCTCCAATTCTCTCTCTCAGTGAGTCTCCTCTGCCGCAGGATCTCCTCCTCCTTCTCATATTACTCGGGCCAGCCCTTGCCGTGGTGGTGGTGCCCGTGGTGCGCCGTGGAGCGCAGCGCTCCGGGGCTGCGCGACCGCGACCGATGGCTCGTGGGATCGGGATCGGCGGGCGCGGCGCTCGGGGCTGGCGGCGGGTGGGGAGCGGGAGCGGGACACCATGACCGCGGCGGGGCGGGGGAGGCACTAATTAAGAGAACTGAAGAAGTTCGACTCCTCGCTCGCGGTTTCTCGGAGGGGGTCTCGGTGGCACGATTCCCCTTAGGTAGGAGAAAAGAGCCGCCAAATCTCCTCTCTGGATCCCAGGGCGAAAAGTACTTTGTTTAAAACTCCGCGGGCTTATAAGGTCTCTGGGGGAGGGCTTAGAAGGAGTAACTTGATTGGGCCAAGGTCCGGGGGAAAAGGCGCGGTTTGAGGGCTCTGCTGACCAACGGGGGATACAGGAGGGCCCAATGCAATAACAAAGCCAGGGATTGGGCAGAGGCGGATGAGACAACCAAATATGGTTGTGCAGAGGCGGAGACCGATTGGGGGGGGAGACGACATGGGATCGAGTGGGGGGGCCGCGTAGACCGGGGGAAATACATAACTCAGGGAAAAACCGTACAATAAAACGGAAATAGTTGTTGTTCTTCTGCTCCGCTCGATCCCAGAGAGCTGCCGCTGTGATAGAACCGCTTCTAAAGTCGTTCTTCCCAGGCTTCATAACTTTTGCATTCCCCCACAGGAGATCTCTGCACTCTGTGGCCACGGCTGGTGGCAGCAGGGTCCCAGCTCTGCAGCAGGCTTGCCTCCGCCGTTGGCACTCTGGCTCCTGCTGAGCACCGTCCCTCATAGACTCATAGAATCAGCTGGGTTGGAAGGGACCTCCGAGATCATCAAGTCCAACCCTTGATCCACTACCGCTGCGGTTACTAGACCATGGCACTGATGCCACATCCAGTCTCATCTTAAAAAACCTCCAGGGACAGAGAATCCACTACTTCCCTGGGCAGCCCATTCCAATGCCTGATTACCCTCTCTGTAAAGAATTTCTTCCTAATATCTAACCTAAACCTCCCCTTAAGACCATGCCCTCTTGTCTTGCTGATAGTTGCCAGGGAGAAGAGACCAACCCCCACCTGGCTACAACCTCCTGTCAAGGAGTTGTAGAGAGTGAGGAGGTCTCCCCTGAGCCTCCTCTTCTCCAGGCTGAACAACCCCAGCTCCCTCAGCCTCTCCTCATAGGACTTGTGCTCAAGTCCCTTCACCAGCCTTGTTGCTCTTCTCTGGACCTGCTCCAGCACCTCAATGTCCTTCCTGAACTGAGGGACCCAGAACTGGACACAGTACTCAAGGTGTGGCCTCACCAGTGCTGAGTACAGGGGAAGAATCACTTCCCTGGACCTGCTGGCCACACTGTTCCTGACACAGGCCAGGATGCCGTTGGCCTTCTTGGCCACCTGGGCACACTCTGGCTCATGTTCAGCTTCCTGTCAATCCAAACTCCCAGGTCCCTTCCTGCCTGGCTGCTCTCCATCCACTCTGTCCCCAGCCTGTAGCGCCGCATGGGGTTGTTGTGGCCAAAGTGCAGGACCCGGCCCTTGGCCTTGTTGAACCTCATCCTGTTGGAATCAGCCAAACTCTCCAACCTATCCAGGTCCCTCTGCAGAGCCCTCCTGCCTTCCAGCTGATTGACACTCCCCCCAACTTAGTGCCATCTGCAAATTTGCTGATGGTGGACTCAATCCCCTCATCTAAATCATCAATAAAGATATTAAATAGAACTGGGCCCAACACTGATCCCTGGGGACACCACTGGTGACCGGATCCCAACTGGATGCAGCCCCGTTCCCCACCACTCTCTGGGCCCGACCATCCAGCCAGTTCCTAACCCAGCACAGAGTGCCCCTGTCCAAGCTGTGGGCTCCCAGCCTTTTCAGGATGCTGTGGGAGACGGTGTCAAAGGCTTTGCTGAAGTCCAGGTAGACACATCCACAGCCTTCCCCTCATCCACCAGGCGGGTCACCTCATTCTGCCAGGCTGCCAGGCAGTGTCCTCGCCCCCCGCTGCTGTTTGAACGTACCTCCCTGGCAGGTGGGCCTTGACTGAGCCAAGCAGGAAAGGAATCCTCTCTCTTCCTTCCCTGTCCCCCAAAACAATCAATTGGTGTACCTGCCCCAGCTTGGAAATCTTCCTGGGAAATCTCCCTGGTGATGTGAACTGTGGTTCCTCCCACATCCTAGCTGGCGGCAGAGGGGAGGCGTGATGCACTTTAAAGGGGGAATTTCTACCCCGCCTTGGAAGGTCCTGCTCTTCTCTCCTCTTCCCTCCTGCACGAGGTCTTGGTGGCACCAAAAGAGCTCTCACCCCTGTGTGTGGCCAGGTGCTGGGGGAAAAGCCTGACCCCAGATGCCCCTCGCCAGCACAAGAAGCCCCTCCCTTCCTGCTTGGCTGTGCCTGGACCGGGCAGGCAGAGGAGGACCGGCAGCAGGCACAGCTTTAAAGTGGGTCAGGGCCTGCTCCCCACAGCAGCCGGCTCAGCTTTCCTCCTCTTTCGTTCCAGAACTTATTTACTTTCTAAGCACTTCAGATGTTTGCTACCTCGATTTTTAATTTAAGCTGCTGGCACTTGGCTGCCAGCCCCGTCGGTGTCTACGTTGGATGTATCCATCGCCGCGTCCGTTGAGAGCCGCCCGGGCGCGGGGCCACATTCCCGGCTTCGGAGAGATAACAGCGGCGTGGCTGTTGCCGTCTTCCTGTCACCACCTCTTCCCTTCACGTCCCTCCACCCGCTGTTCCCATCGACAGGAGCGAGCACGCAGGGTGAAGTGGATGTGCTGGCTGCCACCAGGCAGGAAAGTGGGAGGGCAGGGCTCGTCTACACTGTGATGCTGGGCACTTCTCTCAACATCTTTTGTTCTGCTTGCTTGAAAGAGTCTTGTCTTAAAACAGTCTCCCACTGAAGTGTTTCTTATTCGCACCACCTACTCCCGAGTTTCTCCCAGGCCGGAGCTCCCTGGGCAGGGCATCCCCTCAGGCTCTGCTGCAGAGCAGGAGCTGCTGTCCCCAGGGAGAGGAGAGAAAACCATGGTCACACTGTCTGTGCTGCCTTGCCCCGCTGCTCTTCGAGGGCACGAGAAGCTGCACTGAAGCCACTGCGGGTACTGGGGAAGGTGAAGGAGGAGTGGGGAGGGGGCCAGTGCTGTTTGCCTGTCCCAGTGGGGAGCCCCTCACAGGGCTACCAGCCAAAAATCTGCTGGCAAAGCAGGGCCCGAACACCAGAGGAGGGAGCAGAGACTGAGACCGGCTTAGCAAGGATGCTTTTGTCCTTCCTGACAGGCTGCCCACCCTTCCCCCACGGCATTAAACATGCTTCCCAAAAAAACCCACGCCTTCTCCCACCCTGCTGCCCCTCTAGTGTCATGGGAGTGGCACCAAACTTCTGCAGACTGCCAACAAGCTGCATCCTGCCCTGCTTCTTCCCAGCCTGGTCCCCACAGCAGCCAGCCCCCAGGCCCCCTCCAGCCCTCCTGCAACAGCAGGGCCTTGGGAGCACCTGGAGGGGTCTTAAAAATGTGAAGGTCACTGTAAATAGTATTTGTGTCCACTGTGGTGTTGGAGCAAGCAAAAAAAAAAAAAAGGAAAGTTTTCCTTTTGATTGTTTTTTTTTTTAATGATTTCTGTGTGATGTTGTGCTTTCCCGTGTGGATGTGTAGCCGTACTCACTGACACTAGGCTCCTTGCTCCTCTAGCGTGTGGGTAGGACCCATGGGTTTGGGAAATGTACACTATTTATGGTCCTTCCTCCCAGTGCATCTGTCCACTTTTGTTAAATTTCAATAAAATTATTTGTAGAGCCCGCAAGTCCAAGAGCTGTCTTACTGGGGAAGGTGGCTGTGCCAGAGGGGAGGTGGGTTTTGCCACCAGCACTTCGAGCCCCCTGTTTTTCGGGAGGGGGTGTTTGTGCACATGTGGCTGAGTTGGTGGTGAAGGACCTGTTGGTAACAGCCATTTCCAGGTGCCCCAGTTGGCACATGGCATTGGCAGGAGCTGGTGGCTTTGTCAGGCTGTGACTTTACTTGTAGCTGCCATAACATCCTTTAAATATATAATTAAAGTGTAATCTATGTAATTTCCTTGTTCAGCCCCAAGGGTTGGAGCTCAGAACCCTGTCTCTTCCAGTGTGGGGAGGGAGGTTTGGAGGTTTGAAGGCAGCCCAGCCTCAGGCTACTCTTCCCATGGCTCCGCCTGAGCCTCGCAGGGGGGGGTGGATGGAGGATCCGCCTGTCCGCTCCTTCCTCGCCTGTCCTGCCAAATCAGTGTCTCATTAATCACGGGGGCCTGACGACTTCCAGGCCCTGTGCCGGGAAGCCTCCTGTCCCCCGAGTGCTGCCGGCTGTCCATGGGACGAGTGTGATCTCACTTTGTACCCCATGTCCTGTCCCTGACAGCCCTACAAATGTTTTCCTGTGGCCACCGTCACCTCTCATCATTTCCTCTGCACAAGCCGGCTCGGAAATGAGCCGCTGACGAGAGCTGCAATGAGTGAGCAGTCAGCTTGTCCTGCCAGTGCTCTGGCTGGTGGTGGGCGAGGCTGCGGGACTTTAGCCTGTTGATCCATAACGGCCCAGGAGAGATGGATGGATCATGGTGGCTTTGAAGGGTGTGATGGATCATGGTGGCTGTGCAGGGCGTTATGGCTCGGTGAGGTTCCACAAGGCAGTGGCTGTGGATCTCTGGCTCCGTGAGCATCTCCGTGTCTGCCGGGCCAGCCCAGTGCCCTCCTGCTGCCCCTGGGACAGGGCCATGCCTGGAGCCCTCAGCCCAGGGGTGGAGGCAGGTGCTGACCTCCCCTCCTGGTTTCATGGCTGCTCCATCCCCAAGCTGAACTCCTTATGCACCTTGCCCGGACCTGTCTGGCGTAAGCGGATGTGACTCATGCCCCGTTATCTCTATTTGCACCGTGAGGGATTCCCATCCTCCTGGCTGCCTGCAAGGAGCAACTCGCCTGCTCGGCTCACCCCGGGCACTGCCCACCGCTGCCGCCTGCACCCTTCTCCTCTCTCGCGCCCATCTGGGAATGACTTAAAATGATCTCATGCTCAGCAGGGTGGATCTGTCCAGCTGCCCCCTCCCAAAATCTAGAGTCTTCTGGAAGCGAGGAGGGAAACCAAGTCAGGCAATGCGGAGCCCCAGTGAGGGGACAACAGTGAGAAGCTGCGTCACACTGAGGACTTCCAGCAGTGGAAAGCTGTGACCCCTCTGGCCATCCCGCTGCCGGGGGGGCTGGGTACCTTCGCACGAGGAGGATGGAAAATTTTAGGCGTTTCTGCTGCTGGCGAAGGGAGCCTGTTTACTGCCCAGAGGGGAAGGGCAGCGCCTGCAGCGCTGGGACTGCTTGGCTCCCCACAATCTCTCCCAAGGGTTTTGGCAGCCAACGCCCAACCAGTGGCTGACCTTCCCTGCCTCTGTCCCAACCAGTGCCTGGTGTTGCCCGCAGGCTGGGCCGAGCCGTGGCATACAGCCTGGATTCGGAGTGGCCAGCCTGGACATGGTGGCCATCCCTGGCAGTACTGTCACCCTCTCGGTGGGAGCTTCACCACAAAAGCTGGCACCCGAGTGGTGTCACTAACTGGAGCCATCTGCGGGTGCCCGCGGACAGGGCTCGGCACTGGCGGCAGCAGGGGCTGACACCGAACAATGCCGGGCTTGGCGCTCCCACCCGATCCCTGAGGAGCTGGCGAGCGGCTGGGGAACGTTTCCGTAGATTCAGCCCCGCTTCCTTCCCCTGTCAGCCCCGGCACACCCTTGCTCTCCAGTGCTTCCTCCACAGGGCACCCCGATGGCTCTCAGCCTGCCGAGGCCAGCTCTGGCCAGAGCAGGCAGGGGACAGGCAGGACACAGGTACTGCCACATGGCTGGTCCCTGAGCCCTGTCTGTCCCGCTGCCCATCTGGGGGGACCTTCTGGAGCCTCAGCAGTGCCCCGGGAAGGAAGGTCCCCCAGCCCTGCTGCTCCCATGGTCCCGCTTTCCCCTCTGAGCAGGAAACCCACGGGGTCGTGGCTGAGTCAGCAGCACCGATTGCCCCAGCCCCAAACAGGATGTCCTGTCTGACACGGCACCACCCCGGGGTCACCACTGTCCTGGGGACACCGCTGTTGCGGGGACACCACTATGCTGGGGCCACCACCGTCCTGGGGACATTGCTACTGTGGGGACACCACTGCTCTGGGGACACCGCTGTTGTGGGGACACCGCTGTTGTGGGGACACCGCTGTTGTGGGAACACTGCTGCTTTGGGGACACCGCTGTTCTGAGGTCACCACTGCCTTGGGGACACCAGCATTCTGGGGTTGCTACCACTCTGGAGTCACCGCCATCCTAAGATCACCACTATTTTGGGGACAACATGATCCTGGTAGAGCATCTTGGGGTCACCACCATTCTGGAGTCATCATTTTGGGGTGATGTCGATCCTGGGAACATCACCACTCTGGGGTCACCACTGTTTTGGGGGCACCATGATCCCACAGTCATCACCACCGTGGGGTCACCACAGTTCTGGTGTTACCACCGTTCTGGGGTCACCACCGTTTTGGAGTGACCACGATTCTGAGGTCACCACCACCCTGGGGACATGACATGATGCTGGGGTTACCACAGTCCTGGGGTCACCGCTGTTCTAGGGTCACCCCAGTCCCGGGGTCACTCCTGTTTTGGGGTTTCGGGGTCACCCCAGTCCCGGGTTTTGGGGTCCCCTCGCGCCCGCCCCGTGCCCCGCAGCGCCCCCTGGCGGCCCCCGCCGCGGCCCCGCCCCGCCCCCTTCCGCCGCGTGGGGGGGGCGGGTCCTCCCGGGCCATACCAAGCGCGTGGGGACCGGGGGGGTGTGGCTCCGGTTGCCCGGTGCGGCGGTCCCGCGGAAGTGTGTGTGTGCGGCGGGGCTCCGCCGCCAGCCCGCGGCCCCGGAGCCCCGCGGCGGTCGGCGCCGCCAGCCCGGCGCGGCGCGGGCGGGGCACGGGGGCGGGGCCGGGCGAGCCGGGGGCGGCGCCCCCGCGGGTGGTGCGCGCCGGGAGGTTTAAAAGCGGCGGCGGGGGGAGGCGGCGGCGCTGGAGCCCGCGGCGGGGGATGGCCTGAGGCGCGGTGAGAGACGCGCGGGGAGCCGAGCGTGGCCGCGGGGGGCCGCGCCCCGGCGCTTTGTCTGCCGGCCGCGAACAAAGGCGGCACCGCGCCGGCACCCGCGGGAGCGGCGGGGAGCGGGAACGGGAGAGGGAGCGAACGAAGCCGCTGGGAACCGGGATTCCTGGGAGCCAGCACTCCCCCGGGGGGCTCAGCTCACCTCTCTGCCGCGGGAGGGGTCTTGGGTCGGGGTCTGCCTTTGGGGGTGCGGGCAGACCCGCCCCTGCCTGCACCCCCGGCTGCCTGCCCCGCTCCTGACCCCCGTCTCCCGCCGCCCCCAGGCCCCGCCGGGCAGGATGCGCGGGGGCTGCGCGGCGGCGGCGGCGGTGCCCTGGCTGGCCCTGCTGGCCCTGGCCCGGCAGCCTCCCGAGAAGCCGTCGGCCGCCCCCCATGTCACCCGCCGCCCCTTCCTGGTGGCCTGGAACGTGCCCACCCAGGAATGCAAGCCCCGCTACCAGGTGGAGTTTGACTTCAGCATCTTCGATCTGGATGCCTCCCCCAACGAGGGCTTTGTGCGGCAGGACCTCACCATCTTCTACAAGGAGCGCCTGGGGCTCTACCCCTACTACACCCGCGAGGGTGTGCCCATCAATGGCGGTGTCCCTCAAAACAGCAACCTGCCAGAGCACCTGGCCCGCCTTGAGGGCGGCATCACCAAGTACATCCAGTCGCCCACCAAGGAAGGGCTGGCCGTCATTGACTGGGAGGAGTGGCGGCCTGTCTGGGCTCGCAACTGGAAGCCCAAGGACATCTACCGGGAGGTGTCACAGAGTCTGGTGTCAGAGCGTAACAAGGACTGGCCCCCCGAGAAGGTGAACAAGCAGGCAGTGTTTGAGTTTGAGTCGGCTGCCCAGGAGTTCATGGTGAAGACCCTGCGTAAGGCCAAGAGCATCCGACCCAAGCAGCTCTGGGGGTTCTACCTCTTCCCTGACTGCTACAACCATGACTACAGCAAGAACAAGGAAAGCTATACTGGGCAGTGCCCAGACGTGGAGAAGACCCGCAATGACCAGCTGGTGTGGCTCTGGAAGGAGAGCACAGCGCTCTACCCCTCCATCTACCTCGACCCACTCCTGGACTCCACTCCCAACATCCGCAAGTTTGTGCGGGCACGGGTGATGGAGGCCATACGCATCTCCCAGCAGCACCACGACAACTACTCCCTACCTGTCTTTGTCTACACCCGGCCCACCTTCATCCGCAAGCTGAATGTGCTCAGCCAGGTAGGGCTGCACCACAGGGACATCCTTATCCCACGCCCTGGGCATCTGGGCTTTGGGGTCAGCTGAGGTGGTTCTGCTGCCAGTGTTCCATCTTGCTTCCCTGGAGCAGAGTGACTCTGGAGACTGGTATCTGCCCTCATGGTGCTACCATGGCTGTCTCCATATGGGGTGGGGAGCAGCACCCTTTGGCATGTGGCTGGCCCCAGGAAGCAGGAGGGGTGCCCAGCCCTGCTTCCTTCCCTTCAAGGGGTGTCACCGTGGGAGACCCCCTCAGCTCAGCCCCTCTGTGGCTGGATGATAGGATGCCACAAACTGCTTCCATTAGGTATGGGGTGTCTGGCAGGACTGGCACCAATGGTCACCATTGCCAGAGAAGTGCCTGGGAGGTACTGCACAGGTCCTGGCAGCCAGGACCCTGGGGTATGTGAGCTCACAGCCCCTGTGTTGTGCTGGCTTAACCCCTGAGGAGGAGGGCAGTGTTGGGAAGTCTTGTCCCCAAGGAGCTGGGACAGTCCCCTCTCCCCGTGGCTTTGAAGCAGGGGTGGGTCTTGCCTCCTCGGCCCTGCAGTGGACGCTTTGGAGCACACTGTGCTGGGGGTGTGGGTGCTGTGTGGGGTCTGTGGGCACTAACCAGGCTCTGTCCCCACAGCTGGACCTGATCTCCACCGTCGGAGAGAGCGCAGCACTGGGTGCAGCCGGGGCCATTTTCTGGGGTGATGCAGATGATGCCAAAAACCGGGTAGGTTTGGGGTCTGCAGTCTGCATGGGAGGTAGATGATGGGTGAAGGGCTCACCTGCCCCCAGAGGACCAGTGGCTGAGCTGTCCTCTCCATCTGAGGTGCTTCTCTCCCTGTGTCACACGAACACGCCCCTGGTGCTCCCTTTCCCCTAGGAGTTGTGTCAGACTTTGAAGAACTACCTGGAGGGGGACCTGGGACGCTACATCGTGAACGTCTCGACAGCGGCAGAGCTCTGCAGCACAACACTGTGCCAGGGCCAGGGGCGCTGCCTGCGCCAGGACAGCACTGCTGACGTCTTCCTCCACCTCAACTCTACCAACTTCCGGCTGCGGCGCCGGGATGCAGACCACCCCAAGCACCCCCTCTTCTGGGTCGAGGGCCAGCTATCCTCTGCTGACATCCTCTTCCTACGGACCCACTTTCACTGCCACTGCTACCAGGGCTGGCAGGGCAGTAGCTGCCAGACACCCACTGGCCCTGGCAATGATGCCCCTGGGCCCCTGGCACCACTAGGACTCGGGGTGCTGTTGCTGCTTGCAAGCTGGTGCTAACCCCCCCTGGACTGAGCTGCCCCTTTTTGTGGTGTAGGGGCCTATTTAAGATATCACTACCCTGCCTGGGAGGCAGCTTGTTATGAGGGCTGCCCCTCACTGTGAGGGGCAGAGCTGTGTTGCCCCATCTCTGCCCTCCCTGTTGCAATGGGGATGGAGGGAGGAGGGGGGCCCCTCTCCTGTTGTAAAGAGAGGGATGGGGGCAAGAGGGACATGGGGGTGGGGAGTGGGTTCTGTGTGGTGCTGAGCCCCTGTGTGCTGCCCCACAGTCAAGTGCTTTACCTCGAATAAAGCTGGTGAGAGGGAGAGGTGTGGGCTGATTTGGGGCGGGGTGGAGGCCACGGGTCACCCAACTGCCAGGCATGGCCACCGTGGGGTGGGAGTGCTGGGGGTGGGTGTGCAGCTCGGGAGAGGCACTGCAGGGTGGGAGCTCTCCCGCTGGGGCCGGAGCCGCTCGGGGAAGGCGCTCCGAGGGCGGGAGCTCCCGGCGTGGAGCCGGAGCCGCGTGGGCAGCCACGGTCGGGCCACCCACGTGGAGCCGCGCTCGCCACGCCCCGCCCGGGCTCCTCCCCCTGCTCGCAGTGGCTCCGGCTCTGCTCCGGGATTCCCCGCCTGGCCCCGCCCTCAATCCCGGGACACGCCCCGGGGCGCGGGCAGTGTTGGGGCTGCGGGATGGGAACACCCCGGGAGCGGGATCCTCGTGGGGACACCCCCGTGCCGCGAGCGTCGCTGAGCTCCGCTGTCCCGTGTACGAGTGTCCCCCAGCAGTGCCCTGGCGCGGCTCCCGTGTCCCTGTGCCACTGTGTGCCCGGCGCAGCCCTGCTCTGCCTGTGCCCGTGCAGCCCCTCCGGATACTGCTCTTTGCGGTGCCCGTGGGCACAGCCCGGCCCCGCGTGGCACAGCCGCCTTCCTGCCCGCACCCCTCAGCTGCTGTGCCTGTCCCCACGTGCCTATCCCCGCCGTGCCCTCCTGTGCCGGCGGTCCCCATGCGTGAGTGTCCCCAGGACGTGCCCTCCTGTGGCTGCTGTCCTGTGTTGTGAGCGTCCCCAGGCCGTGCCCTCCTGCGCCACCCCGGGCTGTGTCCTGCCGGGTCCTGCTCGATGCCGTGAGCTTCTTCCCAGCAGTGCCCTCCTCCAGCCAGCTCATGGCTGTCGCTCTCCGCTTCCCTAAAGGCGCCCGCCCGGCTCAGCCCACGTCCATCACCGTGACCTCCCTTCCTTCCCCCCCCACCCCCCGCCGCCTCCGCGTCCGTGTCTGTTTGTCTTTCCAGCCCCACTCCTCGCCGGCCAGTCATGGGGTGTTGACTCTGCGCATTCCTTCCCAGCCGAGCCCGCCGCCGCCGGTCATTAAGCGGGGCTGACACACGCTGCTGTCCCCACTCCGGGGCCGCTGTGCTGTGCTCCAGCTGCTGATAACTTCGGGGACTTTGAAGAGGGGGGAAAGGTGACCTTGGGTGACTGGTACCGCTTGGGAACGGAGGTGAGGATTAACGCCGGTCCCAGCTTGGGGATAAAAGCATCGACGTCTGCCCAGGTCCTGGCTCTCCTCAGGCAGCTCCGGGACTCACCCTGATCCTTCCTGCACCATGGCATTGGTGTGGTCCTGCTGGGTCCTCCTGCTGCTCCTGCCTGCCCTGGCCCACACTGGGGGGCCTGGCCCTGTCCTTGTCAACCGCCCCTTCGTCACTGTCTGGAACATCCCTACGGAGCACTGTGCCGAGAAGTACAATGTCACCCTCAACCTGGAGGTCTTTGATGTGTTGGCCAACGACCAGCAGTCCTTCACCGGGCAGGACATCACCCTCTTCTACAGCGACAAGATGGGTCTCCTCCCCTACTACACATCTGAGGGGGTGCCAGTGAATGGGGGGCTCCCCCAAAATGCCAGCCTGGAGGCTCACCTCCAGCAGGCCACCCAGGACATCAAGGTGACCCTGCCCAGCCCTGCCTACAGTGGGCTGGCTGTCATTGACTGGGAGAAGTGGCGCCCGCTGTGGATCCGCAACTGGGGTTCCATGAAGATCTACCAGGAGAAGTCAGAGGAGCTGGTGCAGCAGCAGCACCCGCAGTGGCCCCCCGAGGAGGTGGAGGAGGTGGCCAAGCAGCAGTTCGAGGACAGCGCCCGCAATTTCATGAGCGAGACCCTGCAGCTGGGCGAGAGCCTCCGTTCCAAAGCCTACTGGGGTTTCTATGGTTTCCCCGACTGCTACAACAACCACTTTGACAGCCTGCCCTACAATGGGACATGCCCAGAGGTGGAGCAGCAGAGGAACAGGAATCTGTCCTGGCTCTGGAAGAGCAGCCGGGCACTCTACCCCAGTATCTACCTGCCCCTCTCCCTCAATGGCACCAACAAGGTGCTCCCCTACGTCCGGCACCGTGTGGCTGAAGCTTTCGCTGTCCAGCGTGGTGTCCTTGACAGCGGCATCCCCGTCCTGCCCTACTCTCAGATTGCCTTCGAGCTCACTGTTGACTTCCTTTCCCAGGTAATGGGGATGTGGGGATACTGAACAGCTCTTGGGCTGATGGGTTGGCACTGGGAGTCTTTAGCTCTGCTGGGGCTGTGCGGGGGCTTTGGACACCACTGACTTCTCTCCTCATGGGTGCAGGAGGACCTGATGAACACCATCGGGGAGAGTGCAGCTCAGGGTGCTGCTGGCATCATCCTCTGGGGCAGCCTCAACTACAGCGCCTCCAAGGTGAGTGCAGAGGGTGGCACCACATCCCTGCCAGCAGGGACCCCCAGTTCCTCAGCTGTGCAGGGCTGTGACACCACATGCCATTGCAGGAGATGTGCCTGAGACTGAAGGACTACGTGGAGGGACCTCTGGGCCACTACATCGTCAATGTGACGGCCAGTGCCGATCTGTGCAGCCAGAGCCTGTGCTCCGGCCACGGGCGCTGTGTGCGCCAGGAGAACAAGCAGGGCTTCCTCCACCTTGACCCCTTCCGCTTCACCATTGATCTGCACACTGCCAAGCCCTGGCTGGTGGCTCAGAGCCTGGAGTCTGGTAATGATGTCTCCCAGCTGGAAAAGGAGTTCAGCTGCCAGTGCTACAATGAGTGGCAGGGACCGCGCTGTGACACCCAGGGCTTCTCCAAGTGACCCACCCCAAGGACAGCAGGTTTGATAGGGTGACCCTACCTTGTGCCCCAGCACTCTCACCATGGGGTTGGGAGCCTGGCTGTGGGGCTGTTAATAAAACCAGAAAGCACCCAGAAAGTGTCTCCTTGTCTTCTGCTGCAGCACATTTTGGGGTGGGAGGGTCCCCCAGCAACACCAGTGGTGCCTAGCGATGCTGCCAAGGGCTGCACTTTGGGATGGGGATTTGAGGGTATAATGCCTCAGAGAAACCACCAAAAAAAAATAGAAGAAAATTTATGGCAAAAGACATAAGAAAGGAGATGACAGGGCAAGAGGATGAGAAATGGGGAGTGGCCAGAGAGTAGAGGTGATGGGAGTGAAAAGATGTGCCTGTGTGGCTGTAGCTGGAGGAGTGTGTTCTCCAACTTCTCATCAGGCAGAGAGGAGTGGAGTGAAACCTGTGCCCCCACTTTGATTTTCCCCTGGATTACCATATGCAAACCAGTTCAGCCCTCAAATGATATGCAAAACCACCCATTTCTGTAACCCAGGACACTGACTCAGCCATACCTATTTTAAAGCAGTTGGGAAAAGGCATGAAACACTGAATTCCCAGTCCAGCTGAGATAAAGATGTTGGCATCTTCATCTGAATGTTCAGCCTGGGGTGGGGGAATCATACTCAGTTCTCTGTTCTTAGGCCCTGATTCAGGTAAACTCTATCCATTTTGGGACTGTGCTGCATAGCACTGTGTGTTTACTGTTCCCAAACATCTGTTCTCAAGATGCTCTGTCCAGGGCACAAATTTCTTTCAAAAAGCAGTTACTAACACCAGTGTCCTGTCAAGAACAACTTGGGTTGTGAACGCCTCCATCAGTCGTATGGACCCTGTCAATGATAACCAATATTTGATTTCTGCAGACTTACTATAGCCAGCCTGTTCATTTCTTATTATTACCTTGAAGAGTATCTGAGAATATGCCACTGGAGACATAATTAGACCTTTGGATTCTCCAGTCACAGCTTTCAGAAACATGCACTGGGTTATTGCCAAGCTCTTTGCCAAGCTGGGGGCCCCTGAAAAGAAATTAGTCATAATTGGATTTTGGCCCAGAATTAATTGTTTTATCTAATTCTTATAGAGACAGCTTGGTAAATGTTGGGTGTAAATGTTGGAAACAATATTATCTTAGTATTTTTTTATGTGGAATGTGATTTAACTTAATGAACACTCAAACATGCTCCTCCCAAGTTACAGGGAATCTGATATTTGCCCTCTATTAAAGGGTGAAACTGAAAGCAAAGTTCACCTTGCTATTCACACAAAGAAAATTACCATGAATTTCAAGTAGTCTTTATGCCTGGAAGGGATTGGAGCTGTGTGCCTGTAACTTCAAGTAATTTAATATGCTTTAAGTGTTCAGATACTGAATATTTGGTGCATACTTTGGGGCTGGTTTGGGGTTCTCCTGGGCACAGTATTATCTCAATTCATTAACTGAGCTAAGCATTGGGGTGGGCAGGAGGAAAGAGATGTTTCAGAAGCCACAGGAGCCCTGCAGAAACCCTGTCTCTAGGTGTGGGTTTGCGTCTTCCCTTAAAGAAAAGTGAGGCTGGAAACTCGGGCCAGCTCTTTCTCTTGCTGTTTAAATAATGCAAGCCTGGGCATGAATGCAGTTTGTAGTTTTCAAATAATAGTTTGAAATCTGTAAGAGGATTTGTTTTATTCATCCTGCTTATTGTAGCTATTCCTCTGTCCTTGCCTCTTACAGCATATCTAAAGATACCCAAGACACTGGATTTCATGTAATCTAGCTTGTCTTGCTCCAGACTCCGAGGAATAGAGACTAGAAAGACACTGCACATGGTGCCAGCAGGCAACTTAGAAGCACTGAACATCTGCTGGGTTGTTTTTTTCCAGGTCTGAGAACCACACTACGCCTTGTACACATGTAGTGCTCTGCAAATCCACGGCAGTGCCAGAGCGAGCCCACGCTCGATGGGAGTGTGCTGGAGGGGAGCCAGCAGCAATCCACAGGCCTTTGTGTGCTTCACATTTCTGGCTGCTCCACATCTCTTGGGTGGGATACACTTATGGTGCTGTCATGGCAGCTCCCGTTTTCTGTGCTCAGGATGAGTGAGAAACCTGCTGTGTGCAGAGCTCGCTCGTCCACTGTGCTACAGGGTTCACACTAAATTGATTTTTA